AAAGACCTGAAATATTTCAGTTGGTGTGCAATGAATCTGAAATATATTGAAAGTTTCATTTTTATCATTACATTATGGAAAATAATGACCTTTATCACAATATGCTAATTTTTTTAGGAGGACCTGTAAATACTAAAATAAACTACTACATACTACTACACTAAATACTAAAATAAACTACATACTACTCCTACTACTTGTGTACATAATTTCATTCCATCTCATGCACCACATGAAATGGTAAAGACAAAGTTTACAGTATCTACTTAAAATTGAACTTAACTACTTCACTGTTTCACTTATCGCGAGTGGTCCTAAATCCCGCGATAAACGAGGGACTACTGCTGGAACTGCATTTATATTCAGTTTCTGTTGTTGCTGGTCACTAGATGGCGCTGCTGTGACGTGTAGGGCAGAAAATACTGTGTTAAAGAGAAATGCAGAAGAATGAACGTGTGTAATGGTTTTTACTGTATTAAAGTTTGACTTTCACAGTCTACTTTTATTTTATTACAAACATAACAGATGAATCAGAAGCTTTCAAAACATCATCTGACCTTTCCAAATTGTTTAAAGGCATAGTATCTTGGTGGATGTGAATTTATGAATTTGAAGTAATAAAAATAAAACCTAAAACAGGAAAAGTTTGATTTAACATTTGCAATAAAAATTTGGTACACTGTATGTAAACATCTGGTTTCACTGCTAAACATCTTGAAAGATTAGTTCCTAAAATACACCCAGAGCAGAGGTCCGGCAGCAAGCTGTTGCACACGCACTTGATCAGATTTCAAGAATTTAGAGTGAAAGTAAAAGGGTCCTCAGAAGTTGGAGGTGTGTGAAGTGGTGGAGTCGTTGGGGAAGGAGCTCCGGCGCTGAGAGTGAGCCCCACAGAGCAGCAGCAGGCGCAGCTCTGCAGCCACACTGCTGGAAAAGAAGCCGTAGATCCAGGGATTGGTGCACGAGTTCAGACTGGCCAGTAACATCAGCAGGGTGAAGGCTACGCCTGTGAAGAAGAGGAGGAGGAGATGAAACTTGATGAAACGTGCATGCTGAAATCCTGTAGAAAACGTTAGTTTCTAACCAACAAGTTTTGTTTGCTACAATATTTGTTTGAGTTGAACGTCCAGCTCAAATGGAGCAAGAATAAAGAGGCTGTGTGTACTCCACAGACCGCTGAGTGAAAAAGTAACATTTTCCCAAACGGCATTCTGTCAAATTGTACAAAGTTCAGTGTGAGTTTGTGAGCGCACGTTAAAGTTTATGAGTGAGATTTCCACAAACAAACCATGGAGGAAATGAAACCTGGAGTTTTCCACGCAGAGGTTTCATCTCTGCGCGAGGCAGAGCTCCGAGGCGACGCACGAGAGGATGACTGAGGTGAGAAGCTTCTCTGAAAAAACCGCTCTGTCGTTTTCAGCTTCACATGAATTTATACTTTCACCACTTCGTACCCAGACGTGTGTGGACACGAAACAAGGCTCGAGTTCATCTGCTGTAGTAGACTTTTGAAAACTCTTTTTAATGAACTGTCCAAAAAATAAAATCTTTAAAAAAAAGCAGTATGATCTTGAAATAGCATATTGGTATAGATCAGTGGTCAGTATAAAACATATTTATAGCCATATTTATTATTTCAACAAAGGAAAAGTAGTAGTTTGCTTTCTGAAAGTCCAGGGGACCAGACTTAACTTTTTTAGATAAGAGTAGGTTTTTTTAATGTTGTGTGACACCAATAGAAAAGGATTTACCAGCAGGTTGCATGAGTAAAAGGTACAAGATGCAAAAGTCTGACTTGATCCATCGGTTTTCTTCATTCTGTTTTTTGACGGTTGAACAAAACCAATTGTTCAGTTTCTGTTTGCAGAGAAAAGTAGCCCACAGAAGTTACTGTGGAGGCTGGACAAGTCTCCAGTAGGTCTCCAGTAGCTCCCCGGGGCTGTCAACTCCCAGGTAGACCAGTGTGTGGTAACATTTTCAGATGACACTGAACCTGCTACAAACCACGTCCATCTTGGGCAGCCACTGGTCCGTGGTTGTTGGCTTTGTGAAGTGCTGTGACGCTCGAACTGTGAATGATTACTGAGAAAACGATGGAGGTGCTGCTGGACCCCAGGTCAGCTGGAGATCACAGCCATGCAGATCTACATGTGCATGACATCAAGCAGATGGAGTCATGCAAATATCTGAGAGTGCATGTTGTTAATGACTTGTCCTGGTGCACGCAAGTGTTTGTGCCTGAATCCACCAGTCTGCATGTTCTCTGCTGACTTAGTGTTTGGAGTCTGCAAGAACATTTAGTTTTTTTACAGATCAGCCATTGATTCAGTGCCGACATGCGGCATTAGATGTTGGTTTGTTAATCTGACCATAAAATCAAAGGCTCGTTAAATGTAGGGAAGGCAACGAGTCAAAAGATGCGTACAGCTGCACCTTTAACTTTCTCAGAGCTGTTTGAGCAGACGGCCCTCAGGCCGGAAGACGGTGTCTCGTCTAACGCCTCATGTTCTGCACTCGCAATAGGTTGTACTGAACTCAGGAAGAAGGTGCAGGTTCCTCTGTCAGTACAACCGCTACAAGAATCCTCCCTCTTCCAGTGAAGCTCCTCAATGAGAGTGGCTCAGGACGAGCAGGAAGTTTATGTTGGCAGCTGTGCAGCAGGAACATCATTGTCTTTTTGGAATGGTTTTATGAAACACTTTTTTCTTAATAAAGCAAGTTCTTCCCAAGGGACAGTAACAAAGACACAGTGGACTTTTGAAGTCAGGCCACTTGAAATTAAAAACCACAGATGTGAAGGTAAAGAACGAGTCTGAGCATGTAGATCTCATTTGGATCCTTGACAGTTTTCATACAAATACTTTTCTGCACATTCATTAAACTGTGTAACGCCACTGATGCTGGAGACAGAAAGCAGATAAAGGTTTATCATCAATATATGTATTTATCTAAATGCACATGAACATTACGCAGGTATTTGCACCTTTCTGGGGTGGGTCAGGATCCCAGGCAGCCCACATCTGCACGCTGAAGAACGGGGCCCAGCAGATGGAGTAGACCAGCACGATGACCAATGTCATCCTCACGGTCTTTGACATTGCTGCCGTCTCTTCCCCACCCTGGGCAGCTGGGGGGGCTTTACGTGGGTGGGGTGAACAGACGACAGAGGTTGCTGTGGGGTCAGACTGCAGCTCGACTGTCGGAGAGAACAGAAATCAGACTGGACTAGGGCTTTAACAGACCACTCGAGTGATCGACAGGTCGATTCCTAGGACATCTATCAAGTTTTTAAACTTCACGTCAAGTATTCGCAGTGACATCATTACGTCGCAGTTACGTCATTGTGTCACGTGATCCGCACCGGGCTACTAGTAGAAGCTGCCAAATGTATTCCTCCAGCAGATGGACTGAGCAGAGCAGGCCCAGTCTTGACAAATGGGTAGAAATGCATCAATAGTCTGGAAATATTTCACTAAAGATGAATCTTCTGGTTCAACTACCGTAAGGAAACAGAAAATTAATCAACTTCCTGAATCGGTGTTGCACCATATTCTGTGACCACCGGATATTGTGACCGTAGGGGGCGGTGTTGCATGCACTGTTGCAGGTCACAGAATATGGTGCAACACCGGGTCCAATGACCGAACCAGAACCAGCTTCCTCCGACCTGGTTTCACAAACAAAATGCAAAAAATATTCATCTCTAAACCTGTAAACATATTAAAATCTAAACCTAATGCACCACAGCTGAAGGTGGTGCGGGGTGGTCGACCCCCCACTGATTTTAGTTTAGTTTTGACGTGCTGCATGTTTCTTCACGTTTGCAGTTTAATAATAAAAACTAATAGTTTAGTTTTTCCTGTGACTTATTTGCAGTTTGATAAATGGTAGGAGCATAATATACACTCCCAATGTTTTGTTGGTCTTTTTTTTGTAAATAATAAATTCCCGTTTTTTTGCGGTTTTATTTATTTATTTTTTCATCTTGAGATCTATGACGTCATCAACTACTCGAGTTCTACTCGAGTTTTATTATGTTAATGTCGAGTTTTAAAATGATGTAGTCGTTCAACCCCTAGACTGGACTTTAAAGGACCAGTTTGCAGGTGCAAGCCATCCTGCTGATATTTACATTAAAACTGGTTTGAGGTCCAGTAACTCTGACCGTCAGTAGGTCTGTGGTTTTAGGTCTAAATAAGTCAAATGGCACTGTACATGAACTGTGCCTGAAACTAACCTTAATCTTGCTTCTGTGTTCAGTCTTTGCTGACAGCCTCTCTAAATGACCCCCCCACCAACACGTGCATTCCTTCAGCCATAATAATTCATCCATCACCAAGATGGAATTTGGTACCTCACTTATTAAGTTCTTGTGTTCTCGACATGCATCGATGGATGCAGGCTATTTCCATTTCCCCTCCACTCCATGATGGGTAGAGAAACTGTGGGCAGCACAGTGGAGCAGTTGGTACAGCTGTTGCCTCACAGCAAAAATGTCGCAGGTCCGTGCTGTTTCTCAGAGTACTCCAGTTTCCTCCCACAGACCAAAAACATGCATGTTAGGTTAACTCTAAATTGTCTCTATGTGAGAGTGAGAGTGAATTTTTGTTTGTCTCTGTGTCCCTGTGATGGACTGGACACCTGTCCAGGGTGTCCCCCCCCCCACCTCTCCCACTGTGACTGCTGTGACCTGTGAAGGAGACGCAGGTAAAGAAAATGGATGGATGGACGAATGAACTGCATTTACTGTGAAAACTGTGAATGCTAAGTGCTGAAATTGTTGAATTATTACGAGTTGAAACTGAAGAACTGAAACGTTAAAGTCAGAACCAGGAGAACGGAAGCTACAAACTAACATGAGCAAAACCAAAGCAAACACAAGAAGAGTAGAGCGAGTATGATGAAATTAATTACGTGGAATAATCTAAAAAAGTTCAATCTGGTCCTCTGGACATTCAAAAAACAACAAAGCAAAACAACAAAAAATATAGAAACGTTTCGTCTCTCATCCGAGAGACTTCCTCAGTCTGAGGTGCTGTATTCAGCTCAGTCTCTTAAATAGCACCTTCTCAGAGTGGATCAACCAGTTTGCTGCTGACAACCAGAACCAGCTGATCACATGCTCAAGAAGGACCATCAGCCTAACAATGGATCATTAGCACCTGATGGCTGTTTACTGTTCACAGAGGGCTGAGTGATACTAGCAATCACAGCATTGTAAGAGGGGGACAGTTGAACCCGGAGGCCTCCACCCCTGTTTAATGATGGACGGTTTCTTTTCACAAAGATGGCCTCCTTTACTCCTCTCTCAAACCATCGTTCCTCTCTGTCCAGGATGTGAACATCTTCATCCCTGAAAGAGTGACCGCTGGCCTGGAGATGAGTGTAGACCGCAGAGTCCTGGCCTGATGATGTTGATCTTCTGTGCTGGTCATCTTTGGGATGAACCAGTCTTTAATGTATTTTGGGGTTTAAAAGCCACTGGGACGTTATGTTTAGAAAATAAACGTCTCAGTTTCTCTGATACTCCCTCAACATATGGAATGACCACTGGTCTGGGTCAGGGTTCCTCCTTTTCACCTCATGGCTGACAGGAGTCCTGTTTGGAAGTCTTTCGGATGAAAGACGAAATGTTTCTACATTTTTTTTGTTTTGTTTTTTGAATGTCCCGAGGACCAGATTTAACTTTTTTTGCGTTTTCTACCTGGATTATTGAGCATGCATCAGGATGCGTGGAATAATGTTTTTAAAGAATGGTTTAAAGAGATTTTAATGTGTTCCTATTGGGAAAACTTCTGTAACAATGAATATATAAATAAAATTAATTAATTTTAAAAGTCTAAAAGTTACAATTCGATTCAATTCAGTTTATTTCTAAAGCACCAGTTCACAACAAAGTTGTCTCAGGGACTTTACAGGGACATTCACATAAAAGCCAGTTAGTAAAGTTCTCTATCTAAGGAATCCAGCAGACAAGTTGAATCTTGGCTTTGTTGCAGTCTCCCATCCTGAGCAAGCACAGTGGAGACAGTGGAAAGAAAAACTCCCTTTTAACAGGAAGAAACCTCCAGCAGAACCAGGTTCTGGACAAGAGACAATCTGCTTTGACCGGCTGGTTGAGCGGACAGGAAGGAGAGACAGACCAACACAGAATGGTAGGTCCAGATGTAGGTCCAGGCCCAGATGTAGGTCCAGGCCCAGGTATAGGTCCAGGTGTATCTGAAAGACAAAACCACATGTTAAGGATAGAAAAAATAATTACAAATACGAAACGGGTTGAACAGAATAAATAAAGACAGTAGCAGAGTGAAAAAGTTAAACACTAAAAGTCTGTGTACTCCTGATCGAGCAAAATGTGTTCATGTATGGTTAAAACTAGGGATCCACCAATCCACTTTTTTTTAAAATTCTGATCCAATCCCGACACCTAAATCTAAATATCGGTCGATACCGATCGAGTTCCAATGTCGTCGTCGTCGTCATTGATTTTATATGAGGCTGTAATAATCTGCTCTCAAGTACAATTTGTACAAATCTATGCATGCATGTCCAAAAAGGCAACTTGAGGTAAGTTTTATTAATGTTGGATAAGTTTTTAATTTAGAATTAAATTCTGCTAACTCAAAACATGTTTTTTTTTATTCCTAGCTTTAAAGTGGATATTAAAGTGATTAATTTAAGTGATTGTTTAAAGTTGTGTTATATTTTTTTTAACAAGGGGCAGATATAAGAATGTTTTTCTTCTTTCTGCACTCTTTTCATGCAATGTTTTCTTTTTGATGAATTTGTTTTATTTTAAATTAATGAATAAATGAATTAAATTAAATTAAATGTTAAACGGCTTCAAACACCTGGCATAAACCAACAGACATGTTCCTGTTTTTAGTATTTTACATCACTTTATAATGTAGCTGTTTATGTTTTTAATATAATTTTCAATTCATATGTTTTTTTATGATTGTCTACATTGTACTGATAAATATCTCCTGGAGGGTAAACTATATCTTGGCTGTGTTAGGATTTGTGGTCAGGAGCGAACCCAGAGTGCAGAACAGGGACTCAACTCGGCAGAGTAACAAAAATAGGAATTTAATGATAAATAAAAAGGTACAAAATAACAAGCTGACGGGGCAGCAAAACTTACATGAACATAGGAAGGAGGCACGGGAAACTCAGGAGGACACGGGAGACTCGAGGAACCAGGAAGACTCAGGGGAAGACACAGGAGACCCAACGAGTACGACGCGACGATGAACAAGACAGAACAGACGGCTTATATACAGGGACAAGACGAGACGTGATAACAAAGAGCTGGGACGAGACACGGGTGGCAACAATAGAACTAATGAGGGAGCACGAGGTAACACAGACACAAAGGGCCCGAGGAAAACACGAGGACCAGAGAAAAAAAAAAAAACACGAGGGAACACAAAGGATTTGGACGGTCAAGGGATCGTCCCTAAGAGTCATTGTTCCGGCAGGCGGCTGTCCATCAAACCGGGCCAGGTCAGGGGGGGAGCCGGGAGGCCGTCCAAAACACAGTACCAGAGGAAACGTGGCTTGCGTCAAGGAGACCTGGGGAGCTGCAGCATGCGACTGAGAGACCTGGGGAGCTGCAGCATGCGACAGAGAGACCTGGGGAGCTGCAGCATGCGACGGAGAGGCCTGGGGAGCTGCAGCATGCGACGGAGAGGCCTGGGGAGCTGCAGCATGCGACGGAGAGGCCTGGAGAGCTGCAGCGGACGGCGTGGGAGCCTGG